AATAAGTCGCTTTTATAACTGGGTTTTGAGGGTGCAGGGAAATATGTATAAATATAGGTATAACAGAATGCCTTCTGTTCAAAATTATTCTTCTTCTTCCAAGAAATGTTTTAAATGTTGACAACCAAGCTGTATCAGAAAACTAATCAGCACATCGACACCCCAGAGTCAAAACGAAATGCAGACTTCGCTTATCTTGAATGGCAGTTGCATAGTGACACTTGTCTTCTGTGAAAATTATTATGGAACAGAACCAAGACCTGGAAGATTTGGGTTCTTTGTTTTGCCAGTCTTCATGTGAGATACTAACCAAGATATGAGGCTTATTTTTTGTGGCTTTTTTGGTGTTTTTTTAGTTATGCATTAGCTTACTCCTGAGTTATGTGAGGAGTTTAGTTCAGAAAGTGATAAAAATTTGTTGGATGAATAACATCAGCCTGCTGTCTACATTTTGCAGTCATACTAATCACTAGGGACACATCTGACTTTAGGTACTAAAGAATACCTACAGGAAATATCCGTTCACATATTTTCAACATAAATTTTTTTGCTTCCATTTTTTTATGACAGAACTCAGACAGTGGTGGTCAATCTTCCTGGGATAAATTTCCACAATTTTTCTCTAGAAGAACTTAACTTTTTAAAAATCAAAATCTATATACAATAATGTAGTAATATAATACTATAAAAATGCTAGACATATGTAAACAACTTAGTAAATTGTGATTACAATTTTTTTTTATCAACATACTATATATTATTCCATCCATCTTCACTCTGCATTAAGCAGAGTGTTTACAAAAATGCAATAGGAACAGGTTGTTCTCACAAAAACCTGATGCAATAGAACACAGTAAGATATATCAGAGAGAAACTAGTGAAAATGAGACTAATAATAAAGAAGGTTAATTTTTATCTAATTTTAGAGTCTTCTGCTGATACTACAGGTTTTGATTAAATTCTTTTTCTTACAAAAACAAAACAAATAAAAGTAGGGGGAATTGTTTGCCTTATGCAAGATAATAATTTAACTAAGTATATTCTACTTTTTTCCAG